CGTGTAAGGCTCACCCGACGACTGCGAGTACCGCGAAACGGTCCAACCCGCCGCCCGGCCGACGCGGGGGCGACCGCCGCGGCGGTTTAGACCAGGCTGCTCTCTGAGTCTGCCGCGCCTGAGTGGGCGAGCAGACGTCTGCGGTGGTCGCGCAGCAGCCCGATCGCGAGCACCGGCAGCGCCACGATCGCCAGCAGCTGCGCAGCACTGGCCCGAGCCGGCTGCGACGCGGCTGCAGCAGGCGCGGCGAGCAGCGCGTCTGCAGTCGGATACGCCTTGCGCACTTCCGAGCATGGGTCGATCCCGTCGACACCCTCCTTGCTGAGCGCCACCGCCGCCTGGTAGTTCTGGTAGAGGCTGTAGGCGGCGACGAAGGGGCAGGAGATGGGGAGGAGGCCGCAGGCAGCGTTTCCCGCAACGGCCGCCGCTGCCGCCTTGCTTCCCTCGACGCCGTAGCATTCCGCCATGAACTGCGCCCATTCGGTCTGGTTGGCCGTGAAGTTCGTCGCAAAGCCGCCCGTGGTGGAGGCCGCCCAGTCGCTGGCGGTGAGCTGCCAGTCGCTCACGGTATCGGTCCAGTTGATGGCCTGCGCCGCCTCCCACTGGCTGGCTGCGGCGTCGCCGGCCTCGGTCCAGTTGTGCGCAAAGGCAAAAGTGGCGCCGCCGGCGTCCGTCAGCTGCTCCGTCAGGGCGGAGGCGTTGAGCAGCGCGAGGGTCGTGGTGAGGGATTCGAGGCCCCACATGTCGTATTATACCGACTGTCGATGACACAAGAGCACTCCTTGGCGGCGAAGGAAAAAAGCCAGACCCCATTTCGTGTAGTCGCCGCTCTCCGCGCATGGTGAAGCTTCACGGGTTCGAGTCGTCAAACATTAAGCAGCGGAGGTGTGCCGAGGGGGACCGGGAGGCGGTAAGCCGTCGTCGCCCGGCGCTGCTTGCGCACCGTGGCTGAGCCGTGGTACCTCGAGATGAAGGCCGCGACGGTTCCCGGAAGGCGCGCGATGATCGCTCTCTCTCTCTCTCTCTCTCACTCACTCACTCTCTCTCTCTCTCTCTGTGTGTGTGTGTTGTGTCGTGGTGTGTGTGTGTGTGTGTGTGTGTGTGTGTGTGTGTGTGTGTGTGTGTGTGTGTGTTTGTCCCCAGGCGCAGTTATTGTTATGGTGTTATGGCTCTCGGGGCATAGCAGCCCATAACATGTTATGGGTTGTTATGGGTGGTGTGGCGTCGGCCCCTATAAATCTCTGCGCCTGGTGACATGTGATGGGCTGCTATGAGAGAGCCGTCCCGGATCCACGGTGTTATGGCCCGAGACGCAAGCGAGGCCACACCGAACTGCTCGCCGCTGGAATTTCGCTTCGCGCGCTGCCGCGCGCGAGTAAATAAAAACGGACACCTCTACTGTGAGATGGGTAAAAAGGAACAGGTCCCGCGCGCGAGGTTCGGTCGGCATCGATCGCCAAATATTTTCTCTTTTGCGGCAATCGCAGAGCAGATTGTGAATGAGCTTGCCTGTGGCGGGGGTGGGCGGGTGCACGGAGCTAAGTGCCTCGCCACCCTCGCAGGAGTCGCTTAGGCGGCTCCCGTGGTGTACCTGTGTTAGTGCCAGTGCGAGCCAGTCCCGTGCCCAGTCCTGTGCCCAGTGTCGTGCGAGGGAGTTTTGTTGTAAAATTCTCTTTTGCCCTCAAGTTAAATTCAATAAAACACGCGCTCAGCGGAGCCGCCACTTCCAACGTGCCGAACAGGGGCGCGTTCTGCTGCTTGCTCGGAATCTCGACGACGGCTAGCCACATGTCCGAGCCGAGGTCGGATGGCCGGGCACACCAAACGGACATGACGCTCTGAAACATTTTCGGCGTGTTGACAAACACGTCGCCGACTCGTCCTTCGATCCCTCGGGAAACGCGTAGATTTGCAGGCCGTTTGACGCGTTGATGGCCCACGCCTCTCGGATGTCAGAGCACACAGCGAGTTGTCCGTGTGCTCGTCCTCCGCCGACACATAGTTGAAGCCGGGAACCCTCTTGAAGTCGGAGACGCGCAGGTCACGCAGGTCAACCGACGAGGGCTTCTGGCTCTTGAACATCTTCATCCGGTAGGCCATGGTTGTTGGCGGGCGCTCCGAAAGAAGAATTTTACAATTTCCGAAAGAAGAATTTACCGGCGAACGCCGGGATACGCGCGGCGGGGCTCCAAAAGAAAAATCCGTGGGACACATAACAGCTGTTATGATGCTCAGCGTGTCTCGCAGATTGGTTGTAAAATTCTCCAGGCTTCCAACTTTTTCCGGGGTATGGTATGGTACCCTCGCGGCCCAAAGGGTGGGGGGGTATGGTCCTGACCGCCCGAGGCCGGCAGCCGGGAGGCTGGGTCTGTCAGCAGACGGGGGGTATGGTCTCGAATTGCATGACCATACCATGCAAAAAGTCCGAACCCAGAACCCGCGTCACGCCCTCCCGCGCCAAATCGGGTGCACCACCTCGTCGCATGCACTGCCCGTCCGTGCGCTGGCTCTTCCTCGGCCTTGCACTGGCGTTTGTGGCCCTGCACATCTTCGACGCTCGCACTGTTGCGCCGGCGTCCGGGGCGGCCATGTCTCCTGACCTCGCCCGGCGAGCGCTCTCGCTGTACCGCATTGCCACCACCGCGTGGCCGGCGCGCTCCTTCGGATCGCACCGTGCGCGTCTGGTGCTCGACGCTCCCGGGGACATCGCGTGGGCGCGAGTCGAGTGGCGGCTGCCCGGCCTACCGATGGCCAATCGCAAGCTCATCCTCGTCGACGAGAGGACCGGGAGCACCGTGCGCGGCGTGCATGTCGTGTCGGCGACCACGGAGGCGGCTGAGATCCTCTTCGACGCGTCGGACGAGCGCGGCGGCGGCGGCGGCGCCCGCCGAATCGCCCTCCGCCGGCCGCGGCGGCGGAACCAGCGTGACAGCTCCTACAGCTATGACTACGACGCAGCCGGGGCGGAGGGCCGCCGCCGCCGCGGCTCGAGGAGGCTGATGTGGCGCCCGCGCGGTGCGCCGTGCGGCTGCAGCGGCTACAGCAACGCGCACGGCTACGGCTCCTCGTGCAAGGCGTGGGAGTCGCACCTCGACCCTGTTCACAGCTGCGGGTGTGAAGAGACGCTGTTCACAGTAGGCGTGGGAGTCGCACCTCGACCCGCAGCAGGTGCCGTGGTGCTACGTGTCCGAGGCGTGCGGCGCGCCAGACGTGCGGCGCGGCTCGTACTCGGAGGCCTACCTGGACTGCACCCCAGTCCGCGACCCGAGGCCCGCCACCGCACGACGCCTCTCAACCGCCCGCGGCCGCCGCGTACCCGCTGTACGCTCTCCCGTGCGAAGACGCGTCCACGACATGTCCACGCCATGCGCCATAGGCCGCCGCTACCTGCTCTACTACCTCCCGTACGACGATACGCCCTGCGTCACAGGCCCCTCCTTGCCACTTCGTGCGCCTCGCGCTTGTCGCCACGACGTCCACGACGTGTCCGGGACATGTCCTCGTTAGGCCCCGCCTCCTCGTGCGCGTCGCGCTACTACGAAGCCGGCGACTCGTACGAGTTTCGCGGCTCGCGCCACTTCCGGCGGCGCGCAAAGGCGCTCGCCGGCCGCGCGGGGTGGCGGTCGCGCGTGGCGCGCGCGCGGGTTGCGCAGTTTGAGGCGTCCGACTGAGACGGACGGCTTCCGGCCGGCGAGCGGTAGACTCCAGTCTGGAGTCGTCAATGATGTGTTAGGCACGGACCGAGAAGGACGCGTTTCACCCGATGGAGGTGGCGGCGAGCGCAGCGGAGACGGAGGCGGTTCGAGCGCGTTGCGCCGCGAGCCGGCGGCCGGCGCTGGTTTGGGCGGAGGGGAGGCGACGGACAGCCGCGATCTGGCCGAGATCTCGCCTCGTTGCAGTCGGACCGCCCGGGTGTCCGAGGGGGGGAGGGGAGGCGACCACACGACCCGCTCGGGCGCAATGCACTCAGTGTTGGTTGAGCCAGATGGGTCGATACCCCCCCCCCCCAAACTCTCCGGACCGGTCGCATTGCACAATGGCATGTCGTGCCGGTGGTCTAGTGGAGTAGAGCAGAAATCTGGTAGGCGGTACCCGATCCGGATGCTCGACCGGCTGCCACTGCGTTGGCTGGGCAGGGGCGTGGCGCCGCCCAACGCGACGGCCTTCCGCGGCGAGGCGAGCCGCGGGGAGTTCTTTGTCTTTCAGCTGGGCGAGCACGCGCCACTCCGCCCCAATTGCACGGCGGCTGCCACCGGGGAGGAGACCTAGCGTGGGCTTGTGTTTAGGCGTGCACGCGCCACTCCGCCCCCTGCAGCTGCTGCCCTCGTGGACGGGGCTCGCGATGGGAGGCCGCCCAACCACGCGGAGCAGCAGCGGCGGCGGCGGCGGCGGCGGCGGCGGCGGCGGCGGCGGCGGCGGCGGCGGCGGCGGCGGCAGCAGCAGCGGTAGCAGCAGCAGTGGCGGCGGCAGCGGCGGCAGCGAGC